AACTTTAGATGTTTTTTGGTTCAGTCATATTTTCTTCCAGTCTTATTTATTGGTTTTTAACCAATGAAATAAATGAAGAACACGGTAAGATCACAGACTACTAATAAGTTTCTAGGGTAAGATCTTCAAAAAATATAATATTTCGACATGACATCATACGTATTTTAGGATCCATACTTAAATAAAACAGACACCTTTTCAGCTACTTTACTACCCGTAACGAAACAGTGCTTTGTTCGTCATATCTACTAGGCTGTCACGGCTACATCGCTAATATTTAATAGCGGCTCTACAGCACAACGAGCGACACGACCCAGGTGCACCAACCTAATCCCGACTTCATACGGCACGAGAGACCCGACCCGACCCAGGTGCACCGACCTAATCTCGACTCAATGTGCGTCCGATGCAAGCCCCTTCAAGAGCTGCGATACATCTCGGCAACGTTTCCACGCTAATTGGGGTATGAACCTGAATACGTAAATAATACGAGTTAAGCTAGCGAGCCCCAATCTACACAAGATCTGTTGAATCCAAAATTCAAGTTGCTCCATGCATCGCATAATTGGATTAGGTACCTACCGATGAATATCGCTGCAACTTGCAACTTTGGTCCCGACAATCTGCCTCGACCTACAAATGCTTGACCTGTTTTATGACAAGAAAATACTATCCAAATATGGTGGATGCTATTCCTAATTAGTATCCTATTTGTATATTATACTATCCGTGCACGGAAAATGCAAATTGTATGAGTAAGGTAAAAATAAATAAATCTTATTTGCTCACGTTACAAAATTAGGACCACATGAATTTTTCACCATGAAAAATCGATTCCAGTTTCATTTAACTTATACTTTACAAGACTAATTTAATTCACATTCTATCCATGAAACTATTCACTAGACATCCATGTAATCTTACGATAGCCTTTAGACCCCCTTGATTTGACCCTGACGGAACATTCGTAGCTTCGTAGCTGACCTCTCCTACTGCCTACAAACCTACCAGCTAATTTTCAGCGTCATGGGTCAAGTTGTTTTCGAGCTTTCATGTTTAGTTAGTGACCTTTCCCTTTTGTGTATTGATTAAGTATTATCTATTATCTTTGTGCTTTAAGCACGGACGAGCCTCCTTTTACGCATTACACGTGAACGACTAACACGCGTAAATAAACAAGTATTTGTCACTGAATCAAGCATCAATCAACGACTAAGATTTATGTTCGCAGTCGAGAACAGTTAATGGGTTAATTCTTTAACTACCCGTGAACTTTCAGCGCAAAATAATTAACCGCACGTGTGGTGCGACTAATGATTGTGACAAACAATCTGGTTGGGCCTATGTCCAACTTTCTTCTCTTCCTTTTCTTCGGTGGCTCCAACTCTCAAATTATCTAGCTGCATGAGATGGTTTCCCACTAATAATCTGTTTATCGGATTCGGGGCCAGCACCTTCGCAGGAGCCAACCTTCGCGAAAAACCTCTATGGAAAATTAAGAAAAAACTCTATGTTGTCTTGGAACGTCTGTCAACGAAGTCAATGTGAAAAATCCGCTGAATATTTGCTGAATAAATTGAATTATTCAAAACCGCAAGAAATATCGACGGGTCGACCCTCGAAGCCTGGTCTCCGTCTCCTGATCCGCAGGTTGGTGGTTTCCGTTTTATGCAGCTGTATTTTTGAGTTGTTTGGAGTCACCAGCCGATCCCCGCATCGTCTTCCTTTCCCGCAATTTTTTATTCCTGGTGTGGCTATTTACACGCCACACCACAATCCTTTAAAATGCAAATGTATTCAGTTGAGAACAAATGTTCTTGTTCTAGCCACAGCACAATAAAAGCTGAGATCAGAAGTAAAAGTATTCGGAAGAATCGAGGATTTCCCCAAACAATGGAAATGTTTGATCGGAGCCACCTGTAGACTTGTATGATAATGCTAGTGTAGGGAAGTAGGTATTACTGCAATGTAAATGATGAAAGAAAATATTGTGATAAATAGAAAATTCGTTTAATATTGTAATTAATAAATTGCAACAGTTGAACAAACACAATAATTAATTACAACAGTTGAACAACGATCTTTCTCTGAAATAATAAGAAAAAGAGATTTTTAATTAAAAGATATATTTTTCTGTGCATTTTTCCTTTCCTAAATTGACTTGAAAAATATTTGGAAAAAGTATAGTTTAGAACTAGATAGGTATGATAAATTATTTCAATGATAGAGGGAAACTAGAAAAACTTTAAACTTACACAACTAATAGTTTCTTATAAACGAGTTATAAAGCCTTCCTCTATTCAGATCGATGAGATGTTAAAAGATACGGAGTGGTGATAGCAAAAACGCGTCGAAGCCCGAACACGACACTAGTTCGTAACAAGTAACTTTTAACGAGGGATAAAATTACCGTAGTGTATTCTTCGGAGCTTTTATAGTGGAAGAAGCTTATTCGGTTATTATGTGAAAACTTGCGGCGTATACTTCCTTATCCATGAAATTATAACTGCCCGTATAAAACTTTCAGGTATGACTTCTATCTACTATACGACTTATAGTTACAGCTATAATTATTATACAGTGTGTCCGGGCATGTAGTGATCAAACTTTAAGGGCGTAATCTATGGACAATTTTATCGATGAAAATACTTCAAATTTGGGGCCTGACCCATTTCTCGAAAAATTACATCGATTTAAGTTTTTAATTTTTAGTTTACACCTCTTCTTTAAAAAACAAGTAAAAGCGTGGGTAGCTTAACATTGATAGGAAAATATTTTATATCATGGGATAGCCAATAAAATTATCTATTAGTAGAAGAAGAAAGCAGACACAAGTTTCATACATTTTATGGGAGTAAGAATGGATTTAGTTAGAAAAATACATTACTTTTTTCACTTCTTTTTCAGTTATTTTCCAACACAAGAAAAACCAGGTCGTTAATGTATGTTTTATTTGCATTGTATTATTAGTATTTGAGCTATTCTACAAAACGAATGTAAATTTATTAGTCTACGTCTNTATTTTTAGTATTTGAGCTATTCTACAAAACGAATGTAAATTTATTAGTCTACGTCTATTAGTTTCGACGTAATTGTTGAACAAAGATACCCCTTCCCAGCGGTTTCCATAGCGCACGCGACATGCGAAAATGCACTGCCTGAAAGAATCACACAACCTATTCCAATTACTATGGAAACCGCTGGGAAGGGGTATCTTTGTTCAACAATTACGTCGAAACTAATAGACGTAGACTAATAAATTTACATTCGTTTTGTAGAATAGCTCAAATACTAAAAATACAATGCAAATAAAACATACCTTAACGACCTGGTTTTTCTTGTGTTGGAAAATAACTGAAAAAGAAGTGAAAAAAGTAATGTATTTTTCTAATTAAATCCATTCTTACTCCCATAAAATGTATGAAACTTGTGTCTGCTTTCTTCTTCTACTAATAGATAATTTTATTGGCTATCGCATGATATAAAATATTTGCCTATCAATGTTAAGCTACCCACGCTTTCACTTGTTTTTTAAAGAAGAGGTGTAAACTAAAAATTAAAAACTTAAATCGATGTAATTTTTCGAGAAATGGGTCAGGCCCCAAATTTGAAGTATTTTCATCGATAAAATTGTCCATAGATTACGCCTTTAAAGTTTGATCACTACATGCCCGGACACATTGTATAAGTTTGAATGAAAGAAAAAGAACTACATATAATTGGATTATGATAGTACCTATACAAAAAATTTAAATTAAAATAAATCATGTCATAACTTATTAAAGAAAATGTAAAGTTATATTTACAAATAGAGTTAACTAAAATACGTAGATGATTTTCCACAAATCAAATGCAGGCGAAGGATTTAATCGATGGCCATGTTTCAGATACACAATACAAGAATCTACCTTGTATTGTATTGTATCATGCAATTAAAGTAAAAATACTGGCTATTGGCTTTCGTTTCACTTTTCTTATACTATATTAAACATTCGTATCTCGTGTTTTCTCACAATGCACAATGAAACCCTCAGTATTTTTTATGATTACCTGGTCTTGATCGTAAGCTTTCATACATTTTACATCCCCAATTCCACAAAGCGTATCGGATAGGATTAGTAAAATCCCAAACGGTGCGTACTTATGCACAATATTCAAAATAAAGTATTGGGATACTGCTCGTAAAGCTCGGAAAAACTCCCGCTCTCAGCTAAGACTTAGATCTATATTGTTCATCTGCTCCAACCTCTTCTATTAGTAGCTAGTTACAAAAGGGGTACATTATATGAACGGCATTTACCTATTATTACCCTAAACTTTATTTTAAAGCGTATTAATATTGTAAAATGAAGCGAAACAAAATGTAATTATTATTTTTTGTATTCTCGCAATACATTGCCCGCAAACGCGATGAATCAAACACCACTTGAAAAGGGTACCATTTGAAAGAACCAGTCGTTTTATTTTAGCCGGGTTTATCATAAAAAATGCACGACAAAGGGTTTTCTTCTCTCTAATAAAGTTTTTACTGTGATTGAGTTTTCAAGTCGTGAGTTCGTTTCGTCGGAACCAATATAACTTTGTTTTACGTTAATAATTCCATGTTGTCAACTTATGTTTGCGAAGGAAAACATGACATAGCCNTAGGCTCACAACTTAAATAGTGTCCCACGTATAAGCTCACCGGCTTACTTGGGCCGTCTGCTGCGTAGTGCAATTGAAGGTAAGGTCACGTCCACGAAATTGGCCACGCAACCGGGTCAAATCAGGAATGACTTCCTACGGAATGATGTCATAGAACGGTCACCTCTTTATTGTAGAGCTAGAGAAATAGCAACGAATTTTCAACCTCCAGGTCACGGTAAAACAAAACCTAGGATTATTACATCTCATTCAGGATACGAACCTTATAAATCTGCTCTCACGTTCTAGTCTCAAATATCACGTGGTCTAAAGCTTTGGATCATGGTCTCCTCCAGGGTACAGTTTTGGGGCCTTACTTGTGCAATCTCCTTTCTCGTGCAGCAGAAGTTCACGAAGGTGACGTTCACAAAGTCGGCACCATAGCACACTGTCACGGTCTTCTCCTCCAGCGACCCCTGGGACCCGATCAGCACCACATGCCGGATTTTTGGATCCTACAACAAAATATGTATGTTATTTACGTGTAATTGAAGCGTAGTCGCCCAGGAACTTACATTGTCAAATGCTTATTGAAAAACAGAAATAATTCTTTCACAACGAAGTTGCCATTTTGTATGGGGAATTTAAAGAAAGCTTAGTTCTTCTTTGAATGTTACAAAATTTAAGTATGTATAAGAAACTATGTTTAGGACATACAAGAATTGATTTAGTATTTCAGAATANTCAGAATACATTTAGTGAATACAATTTCGTGGACATACTCTACACTTCCAGAAATAGAGTCAGCAAAATATCAATCCGAATCGCGATGAGCGTAGATTAGGCGCGGCGATATGGGATACAAACGGAGCACGACAAAAGACATCATGCCTTTGTCTTGTCAAACGTCACAACGTTCAACCGTACAGAATCCAAATCCATACTATGATTAGAATTTCAGTAACCGTGTTACGTTTCAACGAGTGAAAAGATGAAACAATCGTGATAGATAATAAATATGAAATGGGTTAACTATTGGAACACTTTTTCATGAAGAAGAAAAATTTAAAAAGCTGTACCTATTCGTTCAATGGACAACACGCATAAGTTGTAATTTTAAGTTAAATTATGACTTAGTTTAAAGTTTAGATCACACACATTACACTAGTTTTTATTTCACCTCAATCCATCCAGTATTACCGAAGATAGAGCCTCGAGAAGTTTACGGACTTTTTAAAATTTTCAAATATTTCCAATATTCGCGCGTGACGTCACAACATGATATTGCAGCCCCCGCACGTTAACCCATTTACCACTTTTTGTCTTTTTCCAACTAAAATAAAATTTTACCTAACTGACAACTGTTGTTAGTTGTCATCGTTCAATCACATTTCAAACTAGGCGCTAAAAAAGTAACCATTATTATGCCACCTATTGCCAATTTTGTGCACTATGAAGCCATTTTTACATTTATGCACTGAAAAAAAATATAAATTTTCTGGAAAAATAACCAAGTTTGTGTCTCTGTGCTCAATAACGAGTAAATAGTCCAGTTATTTGTTAATTTTACTTGGAAAGCTTTCCGGAATTTTTGAAAATTGGTGAATAAATAGATTTCGCNAAGTATGTATAAGAAACTATGTTTAGGACATACAAGAATTGATTTAGTATTTCAGAATACCTCTAGTGAATACAATTTCGTGGACATACGGTACACTTCCAGAAATAGAGTCAGTAAAATATCAATCCGAATCGTGATAAGCGTAGATTAGGCGCGGAGATATAGGATACAAACGGAGCACGACAAAAGACATCATGCCTTTGTCTTGTCAAACGTCACAACGTACAACCGTACAAAATCCAAATCCATACTATGATTAGAATTTCAGTAACCGTGTTACGTTTCAACGAGTGAAAAGATGAAACAATCGTGATAGATAATAAATATGAAATGGGTTAACTATTGGAACACTTTTTCATGAAGAAGAAAAATTGAAAAAGCTGTACCTATTCGTTCAATTCAGGAATAACTGAACGATATGTTTTATGGAATATTGAGATCGTAACTCATGATTTAAGCGATACATGTATCAGTTCATTTTGTTTATTAAATTTTAAAGTTCGTACACGTTAGCCTGTACAAATTAATAAAATATCATGAAATTCTCATAAAATTCACACACATTGTTGGTTCAACCACAGAATAATAATAAGTACCTACTACGTACAGAAGTTTTACTTCGCGAAGGTATTTAAAAAAATGTATGCTCAATGTCATTAACAATATGGTGTAATTTAGCCTGTCTCAAGAGTCAAGCACCATTTTGTTGACAAACGTCAGTGATCGGCACTGCGCCGAAGCTATAGGGCTGACTTCGGTAAAATGATGTGACGTGAGGTGCCAAACTGCGGAAAATGGCGGAGGAAATCATTGAGTTATAATGTACTACGTACTAGAGAAGACATGTCAACTAGACTGTTTCTGGCACGCAAACAGGTCCATGGACCGAAATTCAATTAGTATGTGCTCAGCGGTTGCTGTGACAACACGCTTGAGTGCAGTTTTGTTTTTTGAAATATGCCATCCTATAGACGAAAATACTGTTCAAATAACTCCAGATACATATTAAGTAAAAATCAAGGAATGACTTTTTACCATTAAGTTGTACATTTATGCACTTTAAAACACTAATTTAATTTTAATTTGTTAATTACAAGGCGTCACCGCGGCGGCAGCCATTTTACGAAAATTTCAAAGAATAAAAATCGCAGACTTGACACTGACGCATAAATTAGTATACGAAAGGATGGTTAAATACAGCAATAAAAAGATTTTTTTGAAGATTATTTAAGCATTTTGTATTGCACAAATTACTAATAGTCCCGTCCAGCCCCTTGTGTTAAGCTAAATAAGCTTGGGTTACGGGTGGGATTACCTGGTCTTGATCGTAAGCTTTCATACATTTTACATCCCCAATTCCACAAAGCGTATCGGATAGGATTAGTAAAATCCCAAACGGTGCGTACTTATGCACAATATTCAAAATAAAGTATTGGGATACTGCTCGTAAAGCTCGGAAAAACTCCCGCTCTCAGCTAAGACTTAGATCTATATTGTTCATCTGCTCCAACCTCTTCTATTAGTAGCTAGTTACAAAATGGGTACATTATATGAACGGCATTTACCTATTATTACCCTAAACTTTATTTTAAAGCGTATTAATATTGTAAAATGAAGCGAAACAAAATGTAATTATTATTTTTTGTATTCTCGCAATACATTGCCCGCAAACGCGATGAATCAAACACCACTTGAAAAGGGTACCATTTGAAAGAACCAGTCGTTTTATTTTAGCCGGGTTTATCATAAAAAATGCACGACAAAGGGTTTTCTTCTCTCTAATAAAGTTTTTACTGTGATTGAGTTTTCAAGTCGTGAGTTCGTTTCGTCGGAACCAATATAACTTTGTTTTACGTTAATAATTCCATGTTGTCAACTTATGTTTGCGAAGGAAAACATGACATAGCCTTGAAGCTCGCACCGAAATTTACTCACAATGTAAGATGTTATTTGGTTTGGTAACCTAGTAAATCTTAAGCGTTAGGATACTAGGGCACTATTTAAGTTGTGAGCCTCGACAACATAACGTGTTGTTAGACGACATCTGATACTTTTAATGAAAAGTTTGACATTTTTGACTACAACCTTATTCAAAACTTTTTATCATTTGAGCACGTTTTGTATTATTAACATTGAATTGAAAATTATCTTGACTACAAAAACATGGAATTGACTTGCCGAAATTTTCGCGCGAATTTTTATTACGACTTTCGACGTGGTTAATCAATACAAAACNGACCAACTATATTGTGTACGTACCAAACCTGCTTACATTGTAATACTACGAGATTATTATTTTTTTGTCCTACCTTCATTGTACCTAGTTTTTTAAGTTTACCTATTGCACTGTCATTGACTATGGTGAGAATAAAGTTATTTATTATTTATTATTATTATTACTTGAAAATGGAATACAAAATGATAAGGTATGGTAAATGATAGGTCTTTATCAATGAAGAAGCAGAAGTTCAATTCATGTGTCCTCCATCTAGATTCATCAGTACTAGCCTAGGCTAGTTTCCATCGTCACTCAAAGTTTGGATGCGGTCTCCAATTTGGGCTTAATTGAGGTATTTTTTGGGTAAGAGGCATAAGAACTAATGCCGTTTTATATCAAAAATTCATACTTAGAGGTACTCAACCAGGTACAAAGTATTTCCTTGTATGTTAGTCTGCCACTCTTTAGTAAGTCCCGAAATCCCCGCTTCGGCTCCCCTACTAACCATTCTAACCATTGTACACAGATAATATCTTACATGCAGCTTTTCATGTTACTACGTCACATTTTCAAAATCCACGCGGAAAATCGCTCCTAGCTGAAGAGCGCACTTTGAGCTTGAATATTTCAGTCATTTTTAAAGATATCAAAAAAGTAAAAATACAGTATTCATTCTAATTTTTTGTAGTTTTTTTTGGCATCTTCAACAAAAATTGTGCGCCATGTCAATTCAGGAATAACTGAACGATATGTTTGATGGAATATTGAGATCGTAACTCATGATTTAAGCGATACATGTATCAGTTCATTTTGTTTATTAAATTTTAAAGTTCGTACACGTTAGCCTGTACAAATTAATAAAATATCATGAAATTCTCATAAAATTCACACACATTGTTGGTTCAACTAGTTTTCTAATATGTAAAAATAAAATTGTGTAGCTCTTTAAAGAAAACCCTTGAATCCGAAAAGATTCAATGATATTCTAGATTAAATCGAACAAATAACGCCATCCCAAGTATCTTAGTAAAATACACGGCAAATACCTACTACCTAAATGTAGTTACTCGTATAATTAATCATTTTAGTCTCCACAGCGGCGGTATCATTAAAATTAATAATGTTATTTGACTTCATCATACACATTTAAACCCATTATCTATAACAGCATTCGTACCCAATACACGGTAAAGCTTTTTGTGTCGAACTGGGCCATTGCTCGCAAACTAAGCTCTTTGATTGGGTATTAAATAAAAACATCACTTTGATAGTTTATCTAGCTTTGATTAAAAATTCATTGAAATATAAAGGATTAGACGAATTTGAATTCGAAAACACGAACTCGTAACTAGAACGTATTAAACTCTGAGAGGATATAAGATAAGATTTACTACACTTCAGATATTTCATGGTTTTGCACTATTTACCTACATCCCTAAATCTTGGGTTTTCCGTCGAAATGTTGTCAGCTAGTACGAGAAATTTTCCATGCCAACTCGCGCAGCTTATTAGTTCGCGGAAATTAACATGAGCATCAAGATTTGCAACCTTTTGCAACTTTCAGCGCGTTTCATTTCTCAGTTGTACTTTTTTAATGACATATTTTAAATTTAATTATATCTACATTTAATATGTACTATCATACATTGGAAGGCACGCTTTCTGATAATTTACGT